CCCAGAAATCCAACAGAAGAACAAAATACTATAAGCAGTAAGAGAAAAGAAACAAATCACATGCAAAGGAAAGACCATCAGAATCACAGCAGACTTTTCAACACAAACCCTCAGGTCAAGGAAAGCCTGGAGTGAGGTATTTCAAGTCCTAAAAGAAAACAACCTCCAACCGTGACTGACGTAACCTGCAAAACTCTCTTTCAAAATGGATGGGAAAATAAGATACTTCCATGACAAAGAGCACCTGAGAAACTTCATGAACACCAAACCAGCACTACAAGGAATTCTAAACAATATCCTAGAAAAGGGCAATGAAGGTCACAACACCATAAGGCTCAACAGACCAAATCAAATAGGCAAGGCAAGATACTAAGAGGGGGGAAAAAGTAAAAAGAGTCAACAACAGGACAATAACATGACAATCATAAGTCAGAACATATCAGTTATAACCATCAATGTCAATGGCCTCAACTTACCAATCAAGAGAAATAGACTGGCACAATGGATTAAGAAGCAAAATCTAACAATATGTTGTATACAAGAAACACACCTAGTACAAAAAGAAGTTCATAGAGTGAAAGTGAAAGGATGGAAAACAATTCTCCATGCAACAGGAGCCCAGAAAAAAGCAGGGGTAGCAATGTTATTTGCAAAGTAAATTTCAAACCAAAACTGATTAAGAGAGACAAAGAAGGCCACTACATCCTTGTAAAAGGAATAATTCAAGAGGAAGAGATGACAATCATAAACATATATGCACCAAATATTAATGCCCCCAACTCTATAAAACAAATACTAAGTAACATGAAAAACCAAGTAAGCACTAATACAATTGTAGTGGGGGATTTAAATATCCCATTATCACAAATAGATAGATCATCTAGGCAGAAAATCAACAATGAAATACTAGAACTGAACCAAGCTTTGAAACGCATGGACTTAATAGACGTCTATAGAGTATTCCACCCCACGAAATCAGCTGCACATGGGTCATTCTCCAAGATAGACCACATACTAGCTCACAAAACAGGTCTGAATAAATGCAAAAGAACTGAAGTTATCCCCTGTATATTATAAGATCATAGTGCAATCAAACTGGAGATCAATAGCACAAGAAACTGTAGAAACTTCACAAACACACTGAAATTGAACAACACTCTCCTGAACAATCAATAGATCACAGAGGAAATTAAAGAAGAAATTAGACAGTTTTTACAAATAAATGAAAATGCCAATACAACATACAGGAATCTATGGGACACAATGAAAGCATTTCTACGTGCAAAATTCATAGCACTGAATGCCCACACTAGGAAAACAGAGCGAGCTCAAATAAACAGCCTAATGATGAAACTAAGACTCCTAGAAAAACAAAAGCAACAAAAAACCAAAGCTCGAACAAGAGAGGAAATTATAAAGATTAGAGCAGAAATCAATGCAGTGGAAACAAAGAAAACAATACAAAAAATAAATGAAACGAAGAGTCAGTTTTTTCAAAGAATAAATCAACAAACCCTTAGCTAATCTTATCAAAAAAAGGAAAGAAAAGGTTCAGATCCATGCAATCAGAAATGAAAAAGGTGAAGTCCCAACAGATCCAAAAGAAATCCAGAGGATCATTAATACCTATTTTGAGAACCTATACTCTAATAAATGGGAAAACACAGAAGGGACAGATTTTTAGATACTTATGAATTACCAAAGCTGAACAAAGAAGATAAAAACATTTTAAAAACCCCTATTACAGTCAGTGAAATTGAAAATATAATTAAAAATTTACCAACAAAGAGAAGCCCAGGTCCTGATGGATTCACTGCTGAATTTTACAAGACATTTAAGGAAGAATTACTGCCTTTACTCTCCAAACTTTTCAATGAAATTGAAAGGGAAGCTATACTTCCAAATTCATTCCCGGAAGCAAGTATCACTTTGATTCCCAAACCAGGGAAAGACCCAACTAAAAAAGAGAATTACAGGCCAATCTCCTTAATGAATATAGATGCAAAAATCCTTAATAAGATACTAGCAAACAGAACACAGAGGATGATCAAGAAGATCATACATCCGGACCAAGTCGGATTTATTCCAGGGATGCAAGTATGGTTCAACATACGTAAGTCAATAAATGTAATACACTATATTAACAGAGTAAAGGACAAAAACCACATGATCCTCTTGATAGATGTAGAAAAAGCATTTGACAAAATTCAACAACTATTCATGATAAAAACCCTGCAAAAAATTGGAATAGATGGTTTCTATCTCAACTTAATAAAGGCTATCTATGAAAAACCAACAGCTAACATCATATTAAATGGCTAAAAACCAAAGTTTCATGTTAAAATCAGGAACAAGATAAGGATGCGCACTATCACCACTTCTCTTCAATATAGTTTTGGAAACATTAGCCACAGAAATTAGAAAAGAGAAAAAAACTAAAGCAATAAAGATAGGAAAGAAGTTAAACTGTCATTATTTGCTGACAACATGATACTCTACATTGAAGACCCAAAAAACTTTATCAAAAGACTTCTAGACTTAATCGACAGATTCAGTAGAGTAGCTGGATACAAGGTGAACACCCAAAAATCAATAGCCTTCTTGTACACAAATAATAGACTCACTGAGCTAAAAATCAGGGAAACAATTCCCTTCACAATAGCATCCAAAAAAATGAAGTATCTAGGAATCAAACTAACCAAAGAAGCAAAAGATCTCTACACTGAAAACTATAGCACTCTGAAAAAAGATATCAAAGAGGATATAAAAAAATGGAAAGATATCCCCTGCTCCTGGGTAGGAAGAATCAACATAGTGAAAATGGCCATACTACCAAAACTGCTATACATATTCAATGCAATGCCAACTGAAATTCCAACACTATATTTCACAGAACTAGAAAAAAAGAATCCAAAACTTCATTTGGAACCGTAAGAGACCTAGAACAGCAAAAGCCATTCTAGGCAACAGACACATGGCAGTGGGTATAACAACTCCCAATGTGAAACTATACTACAAAGCCACTGTGATAAAAACAGCATGGTACTGACAAAGGAACAGACCTGAGGATCAGTGGAACAGATTGGAAGATACAAAAACAATGTCAGATGTACTCAGCTACCTCATTTTTGACAAAGGAGCTGACGATGCTCAGTGGAGGAAAGATAGCCTCTTCAATAAATGGTGTTGTAAAAGCTGGATTTCAACCTGCCAAAGATCAAAATTGGACCCTTATCTTTCACCATACACTAAATTAAAATCCAAGTGGATTAAATATCTAAATATTAAAACAGAAACACTAAACTTACTGGAAGATAAGTTAGGCAGCACTCTGGAAGACATTGGCATAGGAAAAGATTTTATGAACAAATCCTCAGTAGCGTGAGAACTAGCAGAAAGAATCAACAAGTGGGATCTCATCTTATTAAAAAGCTTCTGCACTGCAAAAGAAACCATCAACAGAACTAAGAGACAACCTACAATGTGTGAAAAACTTTTTACCAACTGCTCCTCAGACAAAGGACTATTATCTAGAATATATAAAGAACTCAAAACAATCATCCTCCCCAAATATAAAGACCCAATTCAGGGCCGGCCATTTAGCTCAGTGGTTCAGTGCCCTGCCTTGCAAGCACAAGGACCCGAGTTCAATCCCCAGTACCAAAAAAAAAAAAGATCCAATTCAAAAATGGGCATCTGAAATGAACAGACATTTCTCAGACAAAGAAGTAAAAGCAGCAAGTAAATATATGAAAAAATGTTCCACATCACTGGTCATTTGAGAGATGCAGATGAAAACAACACTGAAGTTCCACCTCACCCCACAAAGAATGGCTGCTATCAAGAAATCAACCAATAACAAATGTTGGCGGGGTTGTGGGGAGAAAGGAACCCTTTTCTATTGTTGGTGGGAGTACAGACTGGTGAAACCACGATGGTAATCAATATGGATATACCTCAAAGAGCTGGGACTAGAGGTTCCATTCGACCCAGCCATCCCTCTGCTGGATATCTTTCCAAAAGAACTAAAAGAATCATATCACAGTGATGTATAGGCACCCATGTTTACAGCAGCACAGTTTGTAATAGCTAAAACTTGGAAACAGCCCATTTGCCCATCAGTTGGAAACTGGATAAAGATGTGGTTTTTCTATAAAATGGAATATTACTCAGCCATAAAGAATGAGAAATTACATTCATTCATAGGAAAATGGATACATATTGAGGATATACTCCTAAGTGAAATACATAAGTCACACATGTGTAAATACTGAATAGTTTCTCTGGTGTGAATAAACTGTAATAGTGCATAAGATCCTAATGAGATAACTGACATTGTGAAATGGGAAGAAAAGGTCTAAAGGTGTAGGGAAGGTGGGATGGGTAGGGGAATGGTAATTAGGGAAAAGTAAAAATGTGAGAAAATGAAAAGATGGAAATAAAGTGGTTGTAAAGGGGGAGGAAAGGAGAGGTGAAGGGAGGGCAAGGACAAGGGAAAAAATGAGAACCAAGACCTGTCATGTAGAGGTACAAGATCCTAACAATGAATGTAACTGTAATGTATCCCTAAAATGTACCAATAAACTCAATTAAAAAAATAAAAATAAAAAAAATTTTTAAAAATGTACTTCATTTTTATTATTTTGTCATCTACATACTAGAATCTTCAAGTTGCAAACCAGGCTACTGCTTAAACTGCTGGTGCTGGCAAAGATAATAAAAAATTAAATTGCTATCTGAAGTAACTAGTCCACAAAAGGGAGGTAAGAGGGAGAGAGGGAGGACAGGAAACTTTTGAAATGTTAAATTTTATGAAGAAACAAAAGATGAACTTCCTTCTTCACTGTCCAGTGATAAATTGAACCATAATTTTCCTACTCAGGACATAAAAGTGAATCAAAGTGCATAACAAATTCATATTAAAAATGATTCATTATATGCTCTTTCCATAAAACAACAAAAAGAATGTAAAAGATTATTTTATTTTTGAATATTTAGGTAACACAAAATTAATCTCCATTTTTGAGCTTTTTTATCTAGAGTTAGATATGTAAAAATATGGGGCCTTAAATAAAATCAAAGTGATAAAACTACATGCATGAAATGGCCTAACCACTGGCAGTAAATTCTGCCTAATCTTTTATTATCTATAAAGTTCCAAAACCATCAAACCCTTCAGTGCTTTGAGCAATCAAAATAATCATATTCATTCAGGTTTTAAAATAAATTTCTCCACTTAAAATATGAAGGGTAGATGGAATATACAAAGGTTATTCTGTCCAACTTCCTGCATACATGGATGTGCAAAGGCTACACATGATCTCATTATGTCATCATAGCTGCACCACCTTCTTGATCAGTGGCATCTTGGGAAATATGAAGGTCTTCAAGCATCTCAGCCAGACTAATTCGAGGTGCTCCTTCATCATCTGTGTCACTTTCTACAGGGATAGTTGAATCTAAGAAAAAAATAGGATTTCAAATAAATACAATATGAAAATATACAAAAACCTGCCTCCACCATTATTAGCATCATTTATGAAGTCTGACTATAGTAGTTTAAAAAATAATCAAGAAAAAGTTGTTTATGAAAATCAAAGTTTAAGATACCATAATATTCTCACTGATAATACAGTGGCCCCTTTACTTATGAACTCAATTTGTTCCCAAGGGCTGGCTGTAACTCAGGTTGGTCAACTGAAGCTTCAAGCTTTATACACAAACTTTTTCAAAGTCTCTCTCCTGTACACAGGCAGATCTCAGTATCTTTAGAGAGACATTGGCCCAAGATTTCTCAATTTAACCCCACATAAGGAAAGGATGTTGTAATATTCCACGCAGAACTATTTAAGGGTTAAACCTGTACCTGAGACCATCTGGAAGCATTCAGATTGTAACTCAAAACTTTGTTTGTAAAACTAAAATTCCAGTCATAACTGAAGTTAATATGTCAGGCTGTAACTCAAGGGTCCTTATGTATATACAACATATGACTTAATACACTCCCACAACACCAACCTCTGTAAATGTTGATGTTTTTTCTAATTGCCTCATCTTCTTCAAGATCTTCAAGAAAATCTTGGTATTGCCTGTAGGATACAGAAACATTTAAATATTTCATCTCCACCAAGAAAGTGTGAAGTTTCATTTTTGCTCCATTTTTGTTCCGTTTTTGCTCCAAATATTACACTCTTAAAAAGGTGGAATATGGATGTTAATTAAATATTGACAAACTGGAAAAGAAATCTTTTCTATCACAATTACATTATAAAAAAACAGCCGGCTATCATGTTAAATATAAAAGAAAACACTTCCCACCAACTCTACCCCCAAAACATCTTTATAGTCAAGTTGAAATAGACTTTTGAGTCTATAAATGAAATAGCCAAATATATACTTATAATATCAAATGAATTTAACATGTTATATATTTGACCATTTTAAAAACGTAATACTGCTGTTTTAAATACTATTTCCTAGATTCACATTTCATGAAACGATATTACAAACTTCAGTTTTTAGACAATGTTTTCACCATCATTAATACTTTTTGAATCAGCCAATAAACTTTTTGCAGAACACATTATCTTCATTTTTGCTAAAGCTGTTTGAGAAATAACGTATTTGACATCAATGAGCTACTTTCTTTTAATCTTAAATCACTATTTTCTAATCTCACATCCCTTATTTGTGATATCCGCAAATTATTTACTATATTTTAATTTTAACTGCATTATTTACATTAATATTGCAATTATAAGATAATAAACCAAGAAACAATTATTAAATCTGTGTTATCACTACATCCTCCAACACCATCCATTTCCATCAATACCCTCACAAGAATCCAAAATTAACAATGAGTGAAAAGATCAATTGTGTGATGCCTATTTCTTTATAATAAAAAAACAATTTAGCATAAGGATTTCCTTTCAAAAATAGAAGGTTTAAAGAAAAGTGGGACCTTTCATCATCTGTATCCATATTTTCTCTCTCTCTCGCAAGCTCTTTCAGTTTCCAGTTTCTATGACGCTGACGTTTGGTACGGTCATAGCTCTTCTTGATTAATACCTATAACAGAAATATTTAAAAGTTATAACAGGTACAAAGTAATCCCCCCGCTTTTTTGGTACCGGGGATTGAACTCAGGTCCTTGCATTTGTGAGGCAGGCAGCAGAACCACTGAGCTAAATCCCCAGCCCAACAACTGCAAAGCAGAGCCACAAAATCTAGTGAAGTTAAAAAATGAAAGGCTGTAACAATGCCTGGAAAATTCACCAGATTGATGACAGTGGTTATACCTCAAGAAAAAGGTACAGGGATAAAGAGACAATATCAAAAAGGCTTTTAAAACTTTTCTCCATCTATTTATATATGAGAATGCATCTGGTATTATTTACATAATTGTTAAATTTACTGAGTGAAATTTTCCAGTGATTGAATATTACATTTTTTAATACAAAAACCTGCAGTATTTTTAACCTCAAACTTCAATTTTCACCTACTACTCATATAGATCATCTTGAAATATCAGAGGCAAGATACTTTCCTTTATTCTAATAATCACTTATAGAACTGTACATAACTTTCGCAACAGTGTACCTTAGAACAATGTTTAATAATTGTAAAATAAATAAATTATAATTGCACACAGTACAAAATCTTGTAAGACTGCCATGATCTATTCAAGACTTCATTAAAAATATCTACTTTGGGAAGAAAACAAAAGTGGAATGTTCAGTTACTTGGGAAGCTAAGATGGGAGGATCATGCATTCCAGGTCAGACTGGGCAATACAGCAATATCCTCTCTCAGAAGGGAAGGGGAAGGGGAAAGGGCTATTTTTATTTATACTCAAACCATCCTTCTATTTCCTAATTCATTAATTAATGAAAGCAAAACAGGGTGGTAACAGTGGGAGGGTCCTTTTATCATGACTATTTCTACCCAAAGCTAAAGAAATCAATGCACATTTTGAAAGATTAAAAAAGTAAAAAATAGTCTTTAATTCACTATTGTTCATGATTCTTTTTTTTTTTTTTTGGTACTGGGGATTCCTTGTGCTTGCAAGGCAGGCGGTGGAACCACTGAGGTAAATCCCCCTTGTTCATGATACTTAAACTCATCAAGTTAGAATTTAACAGATTTTTCACAACTACTAGTCTTTCTCTAATATTTGATAATATAAAGATTATTTTCTACTGCAACTATATTTAACTTTGAATGATGTTACTAACTTTAAATGCCTCTTAATTGACAATATACATGAAATAAGCTGAACCCAATCAACAATGAACCTGAATACATTCTAAAAGTCACCATTTCTAGCTACAAGCTTGCTCTACAGATAGTTATCAAGTAGTTGGACAGAGAATGATTTAATTATAAAGAGCAACAAAAAACTCAGTAAATCTTAGATTTATCCCACCAAGAAAAATGATGTAAAGACTTCTGAAGCCTAGCAAGCGGTACCCATTATCCCAGCTACTTGTAGGCTGATGCAAGAGATTTGCAAGTTCAAGGCCAGCCTGAGCAACTGAGAAAAACCTTCTCTCAAAATAAAATTTTTTGAAAAGTTTAGAGGTGCACCTCAGTGGTAAAATTCAGCAAGCACCCAGTAAGCACCTAGGTTAACGTCCTCCAAGAAAAGAGTGAAAATTAAGGGGTAGGGAGATAGTTCAGTAATACATTACTTGCCTACCATGTATGAGGCCCTGGCTTTGTTTACTAGTACTGCTAAATAAATACACAGACTTCTGATATTATGCCTTACATAATGTCAAAGAAAATCTCTAATTGATGTATTATTTTCAAAATTATGAACTCATATACCATGATAAGCATTCCATCATCTTTAACACAAGAAAAAAAAAATCTAAAGCCTTACCACATCTGGAATTTTATCTGAGTTCATTTTGTTGACATGCTCATCATTTAAGTTACAGTTGGCCAAATCAAATCTGAAATATAACCAAAAACTTCAGTATTTACCCTTTGTGTTTAACTTTTCATTTGACAAATATCACCTAAAACTTCCTCCTAAGTCAAATAATTAATGCTGCACACTTTAAAAAGCTTTATTCTTTATTATATAATGAACTCTTCTGCAGTCCTCAAAAAGATGAAAAGGCAGTCTATGAGTTTGGTTCATCTTCCTATATATTTGTTAAGGAAGCAAAAGGCCTGCATACATTTAATAAAAAACTGCTCCCTAAAAAAAGCTGTAAACATACATCTAAGTATATAAAATCAGGGTTCAATCACCAAAACATTGGAACAAATGACTCTTTTAGATAATGGCCAAAATAGGAACGACCACAGGCTTCTGTCTGATCCAAAATTCAGTTACCAATAGAGTTATAAGAGGTCCCTAAGAACTCTTAAATCTTTTTGGAATGAACAATTTCAGGTTTTTTTTGTTTTGTTTTGTTTTTGGTATCAGGGATTGCACTCAGGTTCTTGCGTTTGTGAGGCAGGCGGCAGAACCACTGAGCTAAATCCCCAGCCCAACAACTAGTATTTTAGGATACCAAAGAAAATATGCAATGCTAATTGGCAGTTTAAAATACTATAAAATAATACAAACCCCAATGCTAGGTCTCCAGGATTTAGAAGATGTCCCAAATGAGTGCGACAAAAATACTGTTTATCTGTATTCATTTCAGATGTTTTCTGTACCCAGACTTCCCCAAGGGTATGCTTAAAAGAAAAGAAAATGTACTCTTCAATAACCTAAACTTAACTCAAGAAGGATCTCATAGGAAATTTAAATACAATATTAATTTTTGACTTTATCATTTTAAAAGCAAGAGTTTTTTTATTTTCCACATCTCTGAAGTATTCTCAAAATTAACAAATTACTGAATCTTGAGTATAGAAAAGAGAAATCTTAAAAGCAAATAAATAAGTTTTGTTAAGTTTGGTCAAGGCATTTTAAAACAGTATAACAATGTCTCTGGAACCAGAAAACAAAAAGAAAAAAAAAGCAAAAAATTAAGAAACAAAAAACACAACAGACACACACAGGATATTCAAAGAGAGATTGGTCAATACAAACTGAGCAAACAGCTAACTGAAAAGGCATGTCTCTCAAATCAAGAAAATGTTCTAAGCAATCCCTGTTTACATACAGAGTTCAAAAATACAAGATTCTGACAAAATAACCTTGAAATCTCAGTAGCATACTACCAGAAAATCCAAGTCTTTACCAATTAATGTTTTAATATTTGAAATTTTAAATGAGAAAACTGTTAATTCCCTTTGAAAAATAAGATTTTACAAACACTTATAAATAACAATTTGTACATAGGCTGAATTAAGACTGCATGCCAATCTTTTAATAACAAACAGACCACAAAAAGTGAGACCAAGAGAAATACACTACAAGTTAATGAAAGAATCAAGGAATCTCGACATAAAGAGATAAAAAGAAGAGGCAACAGAAGAAAGAAAATCAAAAGAATAAAAGATTAGAATCACTTTCCAAATATTTGCAAAAAAAAAAAAAAAAAAAAAAAAAAAAACCTTACCTAGATTTACCCAATCTTTAGATCTACTCTCGAGTTGAGAGAACATACAAGGCATTAAGAGCAAGTTAAATGATACCATGAGACAACAATAAGATACATTCAGAAGCTATTCTATAAAATAAATGTCCTACTTATCTAAGAAAGTTGGCACCATGACCCAAAAAAACCAACCAAACAACAAAAAACTAAACAAGAGAGCTATTACTAAATAAATTATTTAATTAATAAGTACAATATTCACATAATTTAATGTGTGGTCCCCGATTGGACACTAATCACAACAAAGCATAAAAGATACTTTAGGGACAGATAAATGTAACATGAATAGCCTATAAATAGTTTATAGTTACAATAGTAATACATTGTGTTAGAAATATATATTGAAATATTTAGTATAAAGATTTTTAAAATGTCAAGAAGTTGGTCACTTAGTCCTCTTCTACAAAAATAAAGAAAATGTTTTAGAGTAATAAAGTAAACATTTACACTTTTTCCAACGCAAAATAAAAAAATTAACTTACCAAGCAATATAAGCTGATCATTTCCACAATGACACCAGGTTTTATTAAAAAAAAAGGAAATGAAAATCCATGAAATGTATTTTTAATCTAACATAGTGTTAGCTTTATTTGGACTCCATAATAAAAAAAGAAAAAAACAACAGGAGGATGACAACAAGTACATAAAAATAGTGAGTAGAACGTAGCTTACCTTTTTTGATATGACTCCGGCACCTGCACTGCGTTTGAGATCTCGGACTATGCTGCAATCCATCACAATAAACTCTTCCAGCTGTTTGGGATGGCATAAACTATTGAAAGGATGACTCCAGAAAGTGCTCCCATCAATATCTGCAACTAAGATAAGCACAGAATTCTAAAGAACAAAAAACTGATGTATTTCAAAGAGTCATCAAGTATGTTAATTAGGAAGGACATGGGAAAAACCAACTGGAAAGACTGAGGTCAAGAAAAACTACAACTAAGAACTCTAGGGTCATCGTTATTCAAATAAATTAGCCCCAAACTTATCCCAGCACAAGGGTAATAGCAGGTAGCAAACATATATTAAGTATAGACTATAATCAAAAAGCTACAGAGCTGCATGCCTTTTAAATAAGATCAGATTCAATCAGTAATATACTGGTATTCTATTTTAGAAACGTATTAGCATCTTAGTTGCCTAATTTCTTGCTGAAAGATAAAAGCATGTCCATCCTAATACTATAAATAAACCTCTGGCTGATGACTGTAATTGAGAAGGATAATAAATTGCTTCCTGGAAAATATCAAAGTAAACTTAATTTTTTAATAGTAGAAGACCTATTTCTTGAAACTTAAATTCTTCTTCAAATAAATGTTCCACTGGATCACAAAAAATAAAGATTCCAAAAGTTAAAAAATTTAAAATACTTGTTAAATACTAAAATTGACCAATGAACTTTAGTAATCACAAAAATAAATGATATAATGTCAGTTTCAAGAAAAATGAAATAAAATTAGAAAATCTAAAGTTCAGACTTGTTCCTTTAAATAAAAATACAAGGGCAACCAATCAAATGCCTTATAATTCCAATGTTTTATAATTATTAAACAACAGTACAGAGCCGGGTATGGTGGCGCACACCTGTAATCCCAGCACTAGGGAGGCTGAGGCAGGAGGATCGCTGCAAGTTCGAGACCAGCATGGGCTACATAGGTCAGTCTCAACTACATAGTGAGACCCTGCCTCAAAAAACAAAACAAACAAACAACCGTACAAATTTTAACTGGTCTTTTAAAGCACTACTGAGAATGACAAAACAAACAACCTAAATTATTATTGCTTGACAAATATACAACTAGTTGAAGGCAAATTTAGTTTCCAAAACTTACCTTGCAAGGTATTTGGATCAATGAGGTGGACTGCACTGGTTACTCGAATACACACACATATCTGGTTCATATTTCCCAGGGTTTGTGCCAGTTTTGGAGACAGACAAACAACATTATCCTAGGCGTAAGAAGTAACATTTAAAATGATGCAAATGCTTATGAATGTTAATCAAATTAAACTGTACCTGCACAACAAAAACATTAAGAAATTGAAAATAAGATATAACTTCTTCAGACAGACATATATGTCTTTTTTTTTTCGTGCCGGAGATTGAACTCAGGTCCTTGAGTTTGCAAGGCAGGCCATGGAACCACTGAGCTAAATCCCTGGCTTGACACATCTGTCTTAATTAAAACACTTTTAGAAATTTTCCAAGGCCTATTCTCCAAACTATTAAGTTCATTTCAATATTACAGTATGAATGCTCGCTTATCACTCTATATGTTAGTATAGTATAAATTCTAATCAAAGTATATTAGGAATAATGTCATCTAAATCTGACTTCTTTCAATATTAATAAAAAAAATTCAAAGGAACATGTTTCTCTTACATGGTTCTGCATACCATATACCAATATGTAATCAAACATTTTAATGCCCAAAGTCATGTCTACATGTATTTTGGGAAATAGTGTATAAATCAACAATGTAATTGTCTATTTTTAAACTCTATTACATGTAAAAAATATCTGTGTTGTATTTTAAAATAGACTTATTCACAAGAACAGACTCTTCACTAATGGAACATTCTGTGTATAACTCCTCTCCAATCTTTGGTTTTTAACTCAAGAGTTTCAAACAAACAAAAATACAATCAGCTGTTCATATCTTGTGTGTACCACCTCTGAGGATTCAACCAAGAGACCAAAAATATTTTTAAAAAATCTGCACCTTTACTGAACACAAGGACATTTTTCTTGTCATCATTACCTATACTATAACAAGTATTTAGATAGCCTTTACATTAAGTGTAAGTAAAGTATATAGGAAGATATGTAAATACTACACCATTTTACACAGGGAACTTGACCATCCTCAGATTTTGGTATCTATATGAGATCCTGGAACCAATCCCCTACAGATGTCAAGAGATAACTGTACATCTTTACACTCTGTATTCCCCTAGTTATTGTATGCCTACACCTAAATTCCTATGTACCAGTCTTTGTGCCAAGAAAATATTCACTGTCTTAAACCAGGGATTAGCATAAAATGGTGCTCAGAGCCCACCGCTTGTTTTTTGTAAAATTCTCTTTGAATACAGTGCTGGCCATTTACTTACATATTATCCTTGGTGACTTTTGTGGGACAATAGGAGTTGCAAAGTTGCAAAAGGGATTATATAGCCTGAAAACAAAATATGTACTAACTGGTCATTTACAAAATTTGTCAACCCTGTTTTGGACTCTCCTGTCATCCCTGGTACTATATTATAAATTAGTATTAACACTTTAAAGCTTTACAGACACAGACCTGGGTACAAATCCTGACTTTACCATCTTCTGGTTATGTAACTTTAATCAAGTCATCTAACCTACCTAAGCTTCACTTTCTTCATAATATGGCTTAACTCAGTTATTATAAGACATAAAGTGAAAGATACTACAGTACTTAAATATTAATTTTATGTCGAATGATCACAGTAAATTATCACAACTGTCATTTTAGAAATTCAATATAACCATATAAGTTCCTGCAAGTTAGAGAACTCTAGCAACATAACCTGTACTGTACAGCTTTACTATACTGATCCGTATTATATATGAGAAGCTCAATAATTTATTTATTTAACTTTAATTCATTAATTTGGGGGGGTACCAGGGATCAAACTCAGGACCTTGTGCTTGTGAGGCAGGCAGCAACATCACTGTGCTAAATGCCTGGCCCAATTCACTCATATTTTTGAGCCAAAGTTTTATCTTATTAAAATTAAATGAAATGCTAAGCTACATTTTAAGTGTTTTATTCAGAGGTTTCCAAATAAAAATATTTCTTGTGATCTCAGCTCCATAATATTATTTAATATGGCCAAAATCTATTTGTTCCACAAAGTTTACTGGTTCCATAAAATGGCTCACTGATTTTTTAAATGTAATTCTAAGTTTCACAGACCTGTTATACATTCACTAGGGTTACAATTTCTTTTTTTTCTCTTAATGTGCAAAACATAATATTTGTAGCACATAATGAATATATTCATTATGGGAAGTTGGTACATACATATATCACATCTTAGTCCTTCTTAGTTCCCCTTCCCTTCCCCTTCCTCCCTTCTCCCTACATCCCTAGAAACTCTTCCCATCTGCAAAAGGTCTACATTCCTGTTCAGGATAACAATCTTAAGGAATGCAGAGACTTGTAAAAACTACACTGAGGTCTTCCGATCTTAATACACGAAAAATGCATGCCAATTCATAATTATAAGATTGTTTGTTTTATATTTTTAATTTGGTTGAAAGTGTTAGAAATCATTTAAGTTTGTCTAAATTTTAACCACCTAGAAAGAAAACCAATTAATTACTTGACCACTTATAGAAATGGATTAAACAACAAAAGTACCTTGCATATTGGAACAATTTCCACAGAAAAAGTGCTTTTGTAATTGTATGTGTTACTGTGGATATCCTGAGAGATCAGTCTTTGTGATGCTTTGTATCTATTAAGAAAAAAAGTTAATAGTAATGCAAAGGTCTTGTTTGTATAGACTTCGGAATACCAATGTTCATCAAATTAAAAGGTCACTGTCCAAGGTCTGAAACAGCTTTTTGATGCCTGCTATGGCAAAGCCTAAACCATCTACTTTTATTTCAAAACCTGTATAAGCACTCCACCCATTTTCAACCTTCTCAAGCTCCAAAATATATCCTTAGATCAGACTAATCTACTCTCTATTCACCATAAAGAAGACACAGTAATGCTCACTGCAAGTTCACATTAACCTTACCTTTAAATATAAACTTTACCTATGAAAACTTCCCCCATCCTTTGAGACCAAGTCATACCTCCCCTCTGAATCTTGTACCCAAAGTCCTCTCACCCCCATGTATTCTTTCTCTTATCATTCAAATAGTTGACCCATATTTCAGAACTACAGTGCTTATTTATCATGGAGTTAGTTAGTTCTAACTCCCTAAAGAGATTTTTTTTTACACTTTAGCTCGTATATTCAATGAAGTGGCTAAGTCACTAAATGCTTTGTGACTGTGTAAGTATTCCTACTAAAACTTTAAATATTTTAACATAAGTATCTAAGCCTGAGAATAGATGTGTCCTACATCCATTCTCATTTCCTTAAATTTAGTATCATTTAAGTTCACAACATACCTACAGGGAACTGTACACTGAAGAAATTCTACCATCTTCTGAGCATGTTGTTTTGAGGAATAATAGAAATCCAGACCATCTTAAAAAAAAAAATAAGGCATTAAATAATTCTGCAATATAAGGTTTGCCTCTAGTAACATGACCAGATTACAAATTAAATCCATAGTCAAAAGAAATAAACTATTAGAAATATTAAGAACAATAAATTATAGCCACAATTAAAAAATGATATCCTGTATGATTTGTCTGGCAAAAGGACAGACTAATGCTAATAAATGAAAACAATATGTATAATTTTAGTTCTATGGGGCAAAAAAATTCAAAACTAAGAGGTAGAAAAAAAGAACAAAGAAAAGTATTTTACATAAGTGGAACAGTCTACTATCTTAAGAAATCTAACAGTATTTATATATTACTTTATTATTACTCCATTGAGTTTAGGCTTCTGAATTAATACCTCCATCCCAAATACCTTAGGCATAAGAAAAAAACTATAAAAGAACTTACAGATCTCAAAAATAATTAAAGAACTAATATCTCTCTCCACTATTTTAGTTTTTAATGAATTTTGTATCAATGATTTAGGCTGTATTAATATAGTTACTGGTTTACTCTTCTAGTTAGCACAATGAGTAACTGATATGAGAGAAGGATTATTAATTCATCTGCATGTTTTAAAACATTTGTTATGTTACTGTTAACACATTATAACATCTATGTTATATCTATATGAACATGTTTTAAAATAAATTGCATGCTTAGGAAATATCTTGAACTGTGAGGGGGGAAGAACATCAAAGGAAAAAAAATCATACTTCTAGTTATAAATATATAAATTTAAAGTAATTTTAAATTAAAACATGAGAAAATTTAAAACTCAGTTCTCCGTTGCTCTAGCCATCTTTTAAATACTTAAGAGCTACATGTAGCTAGTGATGTCCATAATGTCTTGTGAAGATAAGGTAAAAAACAGATTATTTTCTTCCTAACAGAAAGTTCTTTTGGATTATTATTCAGATATTAACAGTAAAGGTAAGATTACTTAGATAAGCTGAAACAAAATTTTGAGAGTTTCAAATTCTTTGTTTTAACTCACCATGAATCTCCTTGATACGAAGTGTATTCTGATGCACTCCATATTTTAGAATCAACTGCTCCAGATAATAGAAGGTTTTTTTGTGCAATGTCTAAATATAAGTGCATTATTGAATCAATAAATGCCAAAAGAGCCATTTTCAAACATATATATATATATATATATATCTACAAATATAAACACACTCTGAAAATCAATCTCAATCTCAAGAGACTTCAGTTTGCTATAGAACATTTATATTTTATATTATTAATGTTTCAGAACAAAACAATATTTTTTTAACCAAAACAATATTTAACAATTATCTAAACACAAAATAGTGATCTATTTACAAAAGTGAATGCTTCCTCAAACTTAAAGGATACGGAAAGAAGAGAAAAAAGAAAGTTTTATCAGCTGTTTATAATGAACCAAAATGAATACAAGATATAGGATTTACTCATCATCTTTTCTGCATTTACCTTTTGCCGGACTTGAACCACAGCCTTCCAGAAATCCTTAGCTTCTATCCTGTGGCAATCTCCACACATTTGGGACTGAACAACATAATCTACAACAAACACTTGCTGAAGGATAGCACCATTCATCACCTGGAATAGAAAACAATTATGTGCCTTCATTCTTACAATTTTGCTTAATTATAAATATTTTTCTTTAAAAAAATGCTTTAGGAACTAAACTTTTTTTTATGAATGCTTTGAGGCTATTAGTCAAATTTAAAGGCATACAATAAGCTATATTATTTTAAGAAAGTTCTACAAGTTTTAATTTGTAAAGTTTATTGGAGTAATATTTGAAATTCACCTTTTGTTGAACTGATTGTGAGAATATCTCTGAAGAATTGTGTATGCTTATGTGTACATGCATATTTGTACAAATGTAGGGATACTGCTCTTTGGAAATACACACAAACACCCATAAAATTTACTCTTAGAAGAAAAAAAAAAAGAAAAGGAAAATTGTCAAAAAGAAAATATTCTTTAATGTAATGATTCCCAAATACAGCCCATTATAAAACACCTAGTAAAGTTTTTAAATACACAGTATACAGGGGATGGTGGTATATCTCTGTGGTAAAGTGCTCGCCTAGAATGCCTGAGGTCTTGGGTTAAATCTCCAGCAACACAGAAAAAAAGAAAAGACAAAATATATAAACTTCTGGGTCTCACATTAAGATTCTGAGTCAGATTTGAGTCAGTATGATGATCAGCCATGTTTGCCTTAGGCTGTTTCACTTCAGTCTTTTTCCTAATAAAAGGAAGAGCTGCTATTGAGACTTTCCTCATAGTAGCCCACCCTCCTTTCCCCAGTGTGTCATTTTATCTCGCTTTTGCTTTCTACTTGGCCTAGGCTCACTCTGCAGGGCCAGTTTCTCCCTCACTCTACTTTTTTACTTTCTTAAATAAACTTGGCCACTGCTTTTTGTTCTTTTTTTTTTTTTTCATTTCTTTGTGTCAGATGCGAAGAACCTAGAATGTTACTCCAAGGGGAGAGGCAAGTAACCCAGAAGCTGGTCACATTTAATTGACTGGCCAGTAATTAATGGCCAGTAGCCATTTTAGAGGGGTAACAACTGAGATTGGAATTCAGAGCAGCTGTGGGCTGGCTCCATCAGGGTAGAATGGAACTGAGTTCAAGTCAGCAAGAAGGCAAGGAGCCAAACTCAAACTGGAAGGAGAACATGGAGTATTGTAAGCTAAACAAATTGGGTTCCAGCCTCACAGTCAAAAACCAGCCTGACCTTCAGAACTAAAGGTGAAGGCTTGCTGGGATTATCTATTACCCCATCATAAATCTATGGCTGGCCTGTGAGATTAATCAGCATGGATATGGACCCTGTTTGACTATTTTGTCTAGATTGAGAGCAGAGACATATCTTGAAATAGATATTTTTAAATTTTTTCTTTTCTTTTGTTTTCTTGACTGATCTTCTTGATCACTGTTTCTAGTTTTGTTGTGTATTTCTTCCTTTCTTTCCCTATCTTCTTTATCAGTTTCTCAAAGCTTATATAATCTTCCTTTGTCCTTCCAGCCTTGCTTCTAATCTCTTCCTCTTCCATTTCTCTGTTTTTTTTCCCCCAACCCCTTTTAAATTTTCTTCCCTGAGGGTAAAATCGCCATACTGAGGACATATTTCCTGTATATAATTTTCTGATTTGTTCTACATTTTGTTATATAACAACAAGTCTAGTTCATACAGTTAAAGTGGCAAATCAATACTACAGCTTATCATTTTTTAAGCTCTTTGATGCTACGGTTATTGCTGTGGTACTATTACTGTACTATGCCAAGGTGACATAATTGTTCTAATCAGTTGTTCTTCCTGGTATGTCAAGACTGAGACTGTGTAAGGGTCATAAACAATACTATAGGCCAGTGCAAAAGAATCAGGGGTTAGGCCAAATAGGCAGCAACTTCTCATCACCAATAAATTGAAGAGGTAGGAACTTGCAACAGACTCAAAACTCAAAAACCAGCTATACCCGGAAGACATCTCTGAGCAACAGTCATTTCCTAAGGGTTCTAAATACCAGCAACAAAGCAACTTGCAATAAGAAATTTGCAAGTATCAACCCAGGAATCAAACTTTAAAAAAAAAAAAGAAAAGAAAATGAGAAGACACTTAAGAAAGATGCAACTCCACACTTCCAGCTCTCCAAAGGCAAACCCAGAGAGCAATATGATGGAACAATTCTAAATCCATCCACCCGGACTCTCTGAAGTGGTAACAGCAGAAGTAACAAAGCAAATAAATGAGGCTCTAGAAAGAAATTAAACCAGAAATAATTTCTCGGATACCTACAGATATAGTGACCATAATGAAAGACACAGTGATTCTAGATGGATACAGATTTAAAAAAAGAGAAATAGAAGAGTTCAAGAAAATGACAGAAATCATAAATCCCAACTTGAACAAGAAATGGAATCAATGAAATAGATTTGAGATATCCGGGAGATTAAAAATTCCATCCAAAGCATAGGCAGGAGAATGAGCCAATGCAAAGACAGAATATCAGATATAGAAGACAAGAATGTTGTTAAGGATTATGAAAAGAAAGATTTCTTAAAAACAGTTAGGGACCAGGAAAAAAAAAAAAAAAGAACCCAACAGGTGCTAGAGGCTGCAAAGAATAAAGAATAACATAAGATTGTTTGGAGTCAATGAAACAGGAGGAGAGAGCACAAATGACATAAAAAACACTGTTCACAGAAATAATGGCAGAAATCTTCTGAAGCTGGGAAAAAGAATTTGACACACAGATAATTGAGGCATACAGAACCCAAATTTGCCATGATCAAAAAAATCTACACCAAAGCATTTAATAGTCAAGATTCCAGAAATTCAACAAAGAATAGCATACTAAAAGCTGTTAAGGGAAAAGAAACAAATCACCTGTAAAACAAAACCCATCAGAACCACAGCAGACTTCTCAACAGAAACCCTCAGGTCAAGGAGAATTCTGAGTGAAGTATTTCAATCCTTAAAACAAAACAATCTCCATTCCAGATTGATATACCCAGCAAAAGTATCTTTCAAAATTAATGGAGAAATAAAATACTTCCATGACAAAGAACACCTGAAAAAGCTCATGACCACAAAACTAACACTCTAAAATGTTCTAAAAGACATTCTAAAAAGAGATAACAAGGACTACAACTCCATGAACCCCAGCAGAATAAATCCACCAGGCAAGGCAAGTAATTAAATAGAGGGGGGGGGAACTAACAACAGGAAAATAACATGGAAAGGATAAGTCAATGCATATCAGTTACAACCACCAATGTAAATGGTCTAAATTAATCAAAAGAAACTGGCAGAATGGATCAAGAAGCAAGATCCAACAATATGCTGCATACAAGAAATACATTTAATTCAAAAAGAAATTCACAGACTGACAATCAAATGATGAAAAGCAATACTTTGTGTGACAGGAGTCCAGAAAAAAGCACAGGTAGCTATTCTATTTGCAGACAAAGTGGATTTTAAGCCAAGACTAATTAAGAGAGACAAGGAAAGTCACTACATCATTGTAAAGGGAACTGCTACAGAGGAAGAGATAACAATCATACATATATATGCACCAAATACTACTTCACCAAACTATATAAAATAAATATTAACAGACATAAAAAATCAAATAAGCACTAACACATGAATAATGGGGGACCTCAATACCCCACAGTCACAAATAGATCAACTATACAAAAAAAAAAAATTTAACAAGAAATTTCAGAACTGAATCAAACTTTTGAACAAATGGACTTCGTAAATGTACACAGTGCTCCATCCCACAACATCAGAATACATTCTTCTCAGCTGCACATGGGACATTCTCTAAAATATATCACATACCAGCTCATAGAGCATGCTTAAGTAAATGGAAAGGAATAGAAATTATCCCATTCATATTATCAGACCATAATGCAATGAAATTGAAAATCAATGTCAAAAGAAACCACAAGAACTTAAACAACACATGGGAATTAAATAACACCCTCCTAAACAACTATGGATCAGATGAAATTAAAATCAGTCCTATGAGAGAAAGTCATAGTGGTGAGTTCCCACATCAAAAAAAGAACAAGTTCAAATAAACAACTTAATGTTGGACCTTAAGCTCCTAAAAGAAGAGTAAGTCAAGCCCAAAGCTCATCTGAGGGGGTAAATGATAAAGACTACAACAGAAATTAATGCAATGGAGACTAAGAAAACAACACAAAGAACCAATGAATGGAAGATTTGGTTCTTTGAAAGATGAAGTAAAACTGACAAACACTTAGCCAACCTTATCAAGAAATGAAGAAAAAGACTGAAATCCTTGCCATTAGCAATGAAAAGGGTGAAATAACAACAGATCCAGCAGAAATCCAGATCATCAATACCTACTTCAAGAACCTATATTCCAACAAGATGAAAAACACAGAGGAAATGGAAAGATTCCTAGATACATGTGAATTACCAAAGCTGAATCAAGGAGATATAAAAATTATAAATAAGTCAGTATCAGTCAATGAAATTGAAGACATAATTAAAAACCTACCAAAAAAGAAAAGCCCATGTCATGATGCAGTCACTGCTGAATTCTACAAGAAATTTAGAGAACACCTACTACCACTACTTCTCAAACTCTAGTGAAACTGAAAAGGAAGAAATATTTCCAAATTTATTCCTAGAAGTAGCCATTACCCTGAAACCAAAACCACAGAAGGATAGAACCAAAACAGAGAGCTACAGACTACTCTTCCTAAATGAGCATAGATGTAAAAATCTCCAATAAGACACTGGCAAACAGAATACAGAAAATCATCAAGAAGGTTATATACCATGACCAAGTAGGATTCATTATAGGGATGCCAGGATGGTTCAACATACACAAATCAATAAATGTAATACACAGTATTAACTGAGCCAAGGACAAAAACCATATGATTATCTCAATACATGCATTTGACAAAGTAACAATCATGATAACCCCACAGAAAATTGGAATAGATGGTCTTTATCTCAATTTTATTTATTTTTTTTTTCTCTTTCTGGTATTAATTTTATTTTTTTCCCATGTAGCCTGTGAAAAACATGACTTACACT